GGGAGGGAGACAGAGAGGAAGTGGAGGTAGGCAGATTGTGTTGAATGGTTATGGGTAAAGCTGGATCTCAGGGGGAAATGGAGTGATTGTTTTATTTTTACAGTTTAACGTTGCCAAAAGTTTAAAGAGCTGGAAAAAAAAAAAAAGAGTCGGAAAGCAAGCGAGGCAGAGAGAGACTGACTCAGAGAGTCCTCTCCTGTGAGCCTTCGTCTAGCCTTTGGCATAGAAAGTGAGCCTGCATATTACTCAGTCTATCACAACACAGCAGGAGAATGGGAGGAGAATTAATACACTTTCATGCCAGTGTGCTCTCCCTTTGCCTTTCTTCTCCCCTACACTGCTGCTCTCTCTTTCTCTTCAAGCTCCACTGGACAAAAGCACTTTATGTGCAAATAAAATTAACTCGTATATAGCTTTGATTTTTTCTCTAGCTGATAACAACCAGGCTGAGCAAAAAAAGTAAAAAAAAAAAAAAAAAAAGAAGTGTTCATTTCTTAACACAAGCCTGGAGCTAGTGGCGGCTCGGTCTTCAGAGTGCTGCTGAGGCTCAGGGGCAAACATTTTTGTCTGTGTGCATTTCAATGACATAAACAGCATCTAGCCCGCCATAGCCTCAGCAACCATCTATCTGTCTCCCATAAATCTGAATGACATTAACATTTAAAAAACCCAACTCCTACCTCTCAGACAGACAGACAGGCTTCCTTTTTATTTATCCACATGACATGCAGGGGAAGACAGGCATTGCCACAGACAGGCGTAAATCTGTGCAGGTTAGAGCCTCTGAAAGCGCCTCGGCCTGCAGGTTAAGTGAATATCACCCTCTGCCTCCTGAAAGAACTCACACTCCTATTTCCCACTCCTATTAAATATGTGTTTCATTTCTGCCTTATTTTGGATGGAAAGTCATTTTACTCTTTTATAGAAGGTCATAAAATATATAGTGTTTTTTTTAATACTCTGCATAACATTTACATTTTCTATTGTATAAATGTGATCACGGCGACACGGGGCTGAATAAAACATTCGTGGCAAAAGCCATTTCTTCTGTGACATTTGGTCCCCTATCTATCATCAGTTTTCTATATGCAGCCAGGAGAACAAACGCTGGTCAGATGTTTAAATGTGGCCTCTCCACATAAAATTTAAACCCCGCTTTCACATTAACACCCGCCGGCTAGTAGATGGAAATGCTTTTTTTTTTTCTTTTTTTTCTTTTTTTTGCGCAGATAAGAGAAAAGTCAAATGGAAATGACTCGTAGGGCTGTTGTGGCAGTGGGGCGCGTGCTGATGGGCCGGGGAAATTGAAGCATGTCAGTAAAATTAGAAAAAGCCAGTTCTGCCTCAACTGGCAGACATGTAAATGTGGCAGAGCCCTTCAGATGAGTCCATTATGGACCGTCCGACGCAGCCTTTTCTCATCAAAAATCCCATCAGTGTATTAAAAAGGTATAGCCTTGGCACAGACAAATTAATTCTTTCATCTTTTTTTTTTTTGTCCCCTAACTGATTCGAATCACTGCTGAACTCAGTGATGGGCAGCAATTCAACATTATCATTCATCTTCATTCAAGAGAAAATATTGCAGAGAAAGAAATGGAAATGATTTATTATGATATACAATTGTATTTTCTAAATGAATGATATTATGTAAATGTTGTGCTATATACAGGTTTCATAAATTAAGAACTGAAAAAACAGAAACCTATTTGTAATTATGAGCTTCATCGTACTTTACAGAGCATGCAGTGCAACGCTGTGAACATCAGCTTGATTATTTCCCAGAATTATTTTGCATGTCTTTTATGGCTCCGTTCCTCTTGCATGCAAGGCCTTATACTGTACTCAGAGACAGCCACAAAACACCCAAAACATGCAGTAATATTTAGTAATAGGCTTTACAGGATTAAAGGATTACAGCAGAGTGGAGCGAAATGAGCACTGTATGTATGAAGTAATAAACAGAATCAGTTTTCATCTAAGTGATAATCCTTAATGAAGGGTCCTAAAATATGAAAAAAAAAAAAAAAATGGACAAAAGGGGGAGATGAAGAGCACCTGATGAGAAGAAGAGTGGCGTTTCCTCCTAATAGGCTGTAATTTTCTATATCAGCACAGCTTCAATATCCAATATCACGCTAACACCATGGTCAATCTGCAAAGGAAAAGAGGAGACACTATTTAAATCATCATCTATTATTTAAAGTTTGTCTGTAGGCAGTTTAACCCGTGATTACTTTGATGAATAGTTAATTTTGGTAAAGTCAGCACGGACCAAAGATGGACAGTTACCCAATTGTACTCTTTTTTTTTTTTAAGTACTTTAATGTTACTTCATTTTTTATTTAATTTTTTTGCTTTAGATTTGATAGCCTCCCCTGCCCCTGTTCGTACAGGCAATGCAGGACTTCTTCTTCTACATGGCTCATACTACTGAAAGACAGCAGCTAACTGGAGGACAACGAGTAAAACAAGAGGCTATGCTTGACATGATAACATAAAGTTTAGTCACAGAGAGAAAATAGACAACGCGAGCTCGACGCCACACACGAGAGCTGGATCTGCACAAACAATAGTGGGCACACAAATTAGCTGGTCTGCTAAGTCATTTTAGCCCTTGTATATTTCAAAGCAGTTTTTATTTATTCCTTGCATATGTGATGCACATGTGGAGTACAGTTGTGAATGTGATGTAGATGTGATGCTTCATTAACCCTGATGGAAGCTTTGGGACAACTCCATTTTTCAGACGCAGACAACAACTTGCAGCTGGCGTGTCTGACGTCATTTCAACTGTGATTGGTCGCCAGCTACAAACTGTTAAACTGCAAACTACACGACCACATCCTAGCGACTCATTCATTCATTCATTCAAAAAATATAAGGAATATAGTCCAACCAGTTGCCCCCACAGTGGTAATTGGGAAAACAGTCGCAAACTGCAAATCCTTTCCACTGATGTTATCACAAAAACAAATCTGAAGCTCATGTGGTACAACAGGAATGCAGTTAGCCTAAATGGATTGCATTTAAATTAATTCTTAATTTATTTACGTGTTGGCTCTCATTCACTTGAACTTGATTTCTTCAAGGTGGCAGCCAGATTCACATGATGACACTTGAGCCGGCTCCATTTACAGAAGAAGAACATAAGGGGCTGTTGAAAGGGCAGGAAACTTGTAAGCAACCCTTTTTTAGCAGCAGTGTTGCAAGTATGTCAATTTGTGTCTTGTTGTAAATACAAGATACCTCGTTTTGAATCAAACCTCTATATACCTCTGTAATGTAAGACGGACTCCAATCTCAACAATCATATGATGAGTTCAAGTGTGTTTGTTTGTTTGTTTGTTTGGGATAAAGGTTCTTTGAGCAAATATGGTACATTTCAATGCATGTGAGACAAGATCAAGATGAACTTTCTCCCAGACTTCATCTATAATTTAGTGAATTGATAATGATCAAGTTAAACCCTATGATAAGGATGCTGTTTTTAAGTCCAGTCATCCAAGTTGTAGGATTTTCCCAGTTTGGAAACTGTGTTGCCCCATTTCAGGTTGTGTGAAGGACTCCCACAGGTGCTCATTAGTATTGTTTACTTGCGAACCCAAAGGGACCGTGCTGTCTTCTAATCATAGATTTTACAACACCTTCTATACTCTAGCGCCATTCTCCCACACATCTGTGATCTTATGAGAAAATATTTCGGGTCAACATTTGCACAGAACAATGTTTCCATACAAGAACATATTGTATATTAGCTGATGCTCAAATAAACATTGGGAATGTGGAATTCAGGTGCTCCAATTATCCAGTGTCCAATTTACTAATAAAGATGCATCGATTTTGCTGTTACTGTCCATTATCATCATGGCAATCAATTTGTTACGGCATGCATGCTGGTTTACAAATAAGCCAGTGTGCGCTGCGTTCGAGGTGCAGCAACCAAAATATTGAATACTGCATAAGATTTCATGGGATAAAATCAATAACCTTCTTATTATGCCATGTCATGAAGCCTCACAGGCTGAAGTAAACGTACCACTGTAACACCTTTCTCCAGGGCCAGCAGAAGACACACAAAAGACGGGCAACACGGAGAGAAAACAGTCAATGTAAGAGCCTGGGTGGATGTTTCTGCTCTCATTATCTCCAGGGATGATAAAAGTAACTGGGGGGATGGATGCTGATGGGCTGGCTTGGGGGTTTTATCTAATTTGAGAACTCAAACCTCATGTGTGCGCCTAATTTTGAACAAAGAGAAAGTGCACATTAGGCGAGAAGATGTTTGAACTGATATGATACTACTTTATCATGAGGCACTCTTCATAAAGGGTTTATAAGTTGTAACTACAGCCTTTCTTAGTGTTTAATAAATAATTTACTAATACTTAAATTAATAATAAGCCATTAATAAGAGCATATTCAGGTTGCCAGGTTTTGAAAAGTCATCTAAGCTGGTGTTCATTGAATCAATAGCTGCAGTGCAAACAATTTAATTGCTCATTTTCACATTCAGTTGCTTGTTTATACAGGTACCTGAACTCTAATTTAAACTGTAACTTTACTATTAATCTCTCAGAAAACATACATGCACTAAAATTAGGTTAACAGATGGCAGTGTATATTTTTTAATTGCATTTCTTGCAATCATTTTATACGTGTCTGCTGCTTTGTTTATTTCCTGTATGTTGATGTCGGAATGATGGAGTTGGCTAAAAAAGAAAAAAAGAAAGAAAGAAAAAAAAAGTTGCTACTGTGTGGAGGTGTATCTCAATAGGAATGTGTCATTTCCGACAGCAAGTGAATGCTGCACGGAGGTACAGCGGGACTCCTCCCCCCCCCTCCCACCCCCACCCGCCAGCTCCCCCCGCCTCCTCTCCCTCTCGCGCCTCTCTGCGCGTGTGCCCGCCGGTGAAGGCGCGCGCACGGGAGGTGGCGGGGGGTTGTGCTCGCTCCTGCTCTCTCTGCTCTCTGACCCCAGTGGCAGCTCCGACTCACTGCACTCCGGCTCCCCCTCCGTCAGACCGAGGCTGCTCTCTCTCCCTCCCTGTTGTCTGTCAGTGTCTCTCGCCCTCCTCTCCGGCTCTCTCCCCTCGCTCTCTTGTCTGGTTTCTTGTCCACAGGAGCCAGCCGAGGTCCCGCCGGGTCGAAGGTTCTGCCCTACCCGCCCAGACTGCCGCAACCCCTGGACGGCCGCGTACGAACCTGCCCGCTCCGCTGCTGCTGCCGCATGGACCCGCGTCCCTTCGCCGCCGCTGCTGCTGCCACCGCCGCCGCGTAGAGGGCGACCCCGACCCGACACTCTTTCTCCGGCCAGATAAAAAAACGCACAAAACAACCCCACACGACGAAGGTAGAGCAACCTTTCCGCTTTGCTTTGAGAACCGAGGAGAGAGAGAGGGAGGGAGGGGAGAAAGAGGGGAGACGGGGAGGAAAAAAAAAAGAAATTCCTGACACAAAGCCGTCGGTTAAAAGGTGGCTTGTCATTTACGAGGAAGAGCAGGAGGTTAGCGCGGCGGTGCTGTGACACTGACCACCTTTGGGTGTTTCTTTATTATTCCAGGAGCAGAGTTCAGGATTGCACGGACCTTTCTTTTTTTTGTGTACATTTCTGCAAAGCAGCAGTGTTAACAGCAAGCGGCGCATAGCACACATCGTGTATATGCATGGTATCAGAAAGGGTCAATTTATTCGCCTTTACCCTCTCCGCTTACCGGAGTGATTTCTACTCGTGAAGTTAGCTATATAGCGTGTATAGGCGCTCTGTATATTCAACGACAGGACCGACAATGAGTGAGTGTGTGTGTGTGTGTGTGTGTAACCCCCCCCCTCCCCTCCTCCCGGGTTAAAGAAAAGCAGCACAGTGCGAAGCTACAGCGTGCATAATAAAAATCTACAGCCAGGGCAGGTTTAGCAGGCTAAGCTAGAGAGCTAGTTGCTGCTACTGTAGCCATAAGGTAGAGACAGACAGGCGAGCAAGGCGAGTTTCAGCAGCCCCGACACACACACATACACACACACACACACACTGACTGCACACACCGAGGAAACTGTGAAGCATGCTGCACACAAATCCGTCCTCAGCTTTTCGGCCTACATGTACAACAAAAAAAAAAAAAGAGCGCATTTTCCGGGCAGCAGCATCAGCAGTAGTCCTACTTCAGGTTTAAGATTTTTGCCTTGGGAGAAAATGATTGCTGTGGTTAAGTGTGTGCAAGGCATTTGACAGGGGCAGCTTTTAACTGAAGTGAAATAATTTCTTTGGAAGGCCCAGGAAGATCTGCAAACTTGTCTCTTGCAAGGATTCATTGAAGTCGGGATAATGTCATTTTAACTTTGCAGTGTGTTGTGCAGATGCTTAAACTCAGTTTAAGCTGGGGGTTTTTTGTGTGTGCAGGAATTGAGTTTACCCACCTTTTTTTTTTTTCTAGGCTGGCATAAATCTTTCTGACTCCAATTCGTAGCACACGTAGTAGGAAAAAGCATCCAGTTGACCCAGAAAACACAAATCAATGTTTTTGTGAAAATAGGACAGTTTTTTAGTTTAAATTGAGGGTTGTTTGCTTTTAAGATATTCAACAACTGGAGGTTACAGCTTCTTCTTCTTCTTTTTTCTTTTTTTCCTTTTCACCACTGCATCACAGGATTTAACCATTAAATCAACTCTGGAGCTGCTGATTTCCCTCCAAAAGAGATGATAGACATGTAAGATTGAGGGCAAAAATTTCCTCTTTTTTTTTTTTTTTTCTCCTTCCTCTTGTGCTCGTGGCTGCATCAGGAGGTCTGGTATATAAAGCCTGTCAAGCCCACAGTGGCCACTTTACTATCAGTCAGGGAGGTCAGACAGGAGGGAAGCTCAGGGTGCAAGGGGGACACACAGCCAAGCCCGGTGAGTGAGCGAGCGAGCGAGCTCTGAATATGCAACACCGCGCAGCATTTTAGCTGCTTTTCCTTCCAGGATTTTAGGAGTGAAAGTGTGTTTTTATTTATTTATTTATTTTTACCTGATTTAGTAGTTATTGTACGGTTACGCAAAGGTGCTAAAGCAGTTCAGCTGGCAGATTAATTGTTGCTGGTTCATTTCAGAATTGGAGCACCAGGCCTGGAATAACAAAAGCAGATCTTTGTTTTATTTTTTTTGTATGTTTTCGGGGTAATTGTCAGCAGGGAAGCAGACCTCGTTTTCATGCAAGCGTTGTGAAGAATTTTTCTTGTCTTATCGAAGGCTTTGCAACAATTTTAAACTCCAGCAGAGATTATACCTGCAGCTTTTCTTTCTCGGTGTATTTTATTTCAACAGGCTGATGCCTTAGAGGCCAATGCCTGCAGTCATTTTTACATTTGAATGTATTAGTTTGCATAAAAACCAACCAGGAGACGAGCAGCAGAGCAGCAGTTAACAATGTGCCTTCCAGATTGTAAACTGTCGCTTTAACAGTCCAGTGTTTAGTTTTTTGGAAAGAATAGCTCTGTGCAAACTTCTAGCAAGCAATTTTTTTTATTCTTTTTAATGAAATGCCATATTGTCTTGAAAAGGTAGAGTAAATCTGCTAATTGTTTTTAAGTTGCCTCACTGCATTTTTTGTAATTAGGATTTTGTGAAGAATGGTTTGATGAGGTGTTTCAGGGATTAGTTTCTTCCTAAGTCAAATCAAACAAATGTGTTTCTGTTTGTGCTCTCTGACGCCTAACAGGAAAACTGTAGTTACATATGTACAACACAGACGTATGTAAATGTTGTGATTATGAATCATTAGAGAACGATTCAGTCCCTTCTCTTGATGTGTGCTCTGTGTTTGAGTCGTTGTAGCTCACCTAATGTTAGTTTAGATGCTTGTGCATTTAACCTTTTGAACAATTTAAATGTGTAGAAATGTATTCTGGGAGGTTTTTAATTTCTTGTTACATGAGAGACTACCCAACCAGTGCATTCACAAGTATGCGCGTGCCTTGTGGTGGTGTTTTATAGCAGCTGATGTGTGTGTGTGTGTGTGTGTGTCTCTGTCTCTCTGTGCTCCTGTCGGTGCAGACTGCAGCGTGTCGTGTTCGAGTCGGTCGGCCGGGTCGCTGCTGCTGCTGCTGCTGCTGCTGCTGGGAGACTTCCTGGGCTTCTTGGGCGGCTCTGAAGGATGACTGCTGCACGGCTCGCTGCTGAATCCTGGTGAACGAACGGCGTCTCATGTCCAAACGGTGGAAGGATGGCTCATGGCAAAGTGACCATCACGGTGGACGAGTACAGCTCCAACCCCACACAGGCCTTCACACACTACAACATCAACCAGAGCCGCTTCCAACCTCCACATGTCCACATGTAAGTGCACGCAGTTTGATGCACACACTGACACACACTGGGACACGCTGTAGATCATCTGCCATGAGCTAGTAAACTAACATGCTCTTGCAAAATTACCTGCAAAAGCAAATTCATATGCGCCATCCTGTGTATTTTCAGTCTTAAATCCCATATATGAGAGATGTAACTTTTAAAGAGTCCACTCATCCAAGTCTACTTTGTCCTAATTTATTAATTTTATGATAATTTTATTTCACTTTTACATTTAGCTGTTGTCAGGCTGGTTTTGTATGAAGTTTCAACCACATTTATGAATAATATATAATCGACAAACTGAAAAAAAAAGCTGATATTCAGACATTTTAAGGTGCAACAGGAAGCCAATCAGGAGCCTCTTTGATGCAGAGACTTTGTTTATACTTTGATTTAATTGGCTCAAGCTCAGAGAGTGTACGTTGGCCCTTGAGTACAAACTTTGAGAATAGGCAGAGACCGAAAACAGTTTGAACTGTGCTGTGTAACGTTTGGGGAAATTAAATATGACTGTTTAAAGAAGTTTATAGGGAGTGTGGCAGGTGAAACATGTTGCTTGACAATCATGCAGTGTTTGCACAAACACGATCATGCACTGAAAACAAAATGCTTTCTCTGGTTCGCACAGATTTGATCAGAAGCTTTTCTGACTTTGTGGTTTCTCCCTCCCTGTTGTGTGTCGCGGACAGCTCGCCTCTGTCCGTTGTGGTCGTGCTATGAGACTGTTATCGTTTGTGCCATGTTGTCATTGCGGTGCATGAACACTTTTTTTCGCATTGGGGCGCTCTCTTTATTTATTTATAAGACCAGTTGCTTAGCGTTGCTCTTGTCTGATGTGGTTACGCTCCGACTCTCATTAGTGGGTCAGAGCGCTGTGACCCGTCAGCCCCCGCCACGCACACACTCATCAGAACGCTGTGTGTTTTATCTGTGGACAGATATTAACACAGAGCTGCAGCTCGCTTTGTGTCCTCTCCCAATTACAGCAGCTGTGAGCTTTTATAAAAGGTTTGTGACTGATTGTCGGTTTGTGCTTAAGACATTTTATTTTCAGTCAGAGCGACGTGTGAAAAGTTAACTTGCAGCAGGAACAGGAAGTGATTGAAGAGGAGCACCAGAGTGCTGCCTGCCTGCTGTTTCCATAGTCATCATAGAGGATTTGTTTGTCACTTCATTTCATTTAGCTCTTCGGGTGAACTTTATTCTTTGTGGGTAATTGTGGTTTGATTTGGCTGTTTTTAGATGCGTGATTTTTTTTTTTTGGGAGAAAAGCAGTCACACACTCCTACTGCTTTGGCATTTTCTAAATTGCAGGTGCAACAAAATAAAGACAAATAAAATATTTAACCAAAATAATGAAATGATGAAGCATGTTGGAGCTGATTGCATAAATGAGAACAACTTGAGGTTTAAGTTGTACAAAGTAGCACATGAGAAGAGGCTGTGTAAACACTGTGCATTAACTACACAAGTGCCATTGTAGTCTTTGTTATAGATAGATCTGACAGTACAGTAAACACAACTCTGAAATCCCCGAGTCCTGACATATAATTAAATTGTTATGGGTAAAACTACAGTGAAGCTCGGAGCTTATTTCCATTGTTGTCCTAGTTTAAAAAAAAACAAAATGGTGATATCACAGACTGTCAGGTGAGGCAGGTCTGCTTAGAAAAGATGCAAACAGTCTGATGATTGACTGCTTAACGACCAATTCTTTAGCACAAGTTTAAAACTTCTCTGTCAGTTGTTTGATCCTGAAACACATCAGCGGTTAATAAAAACATATCTTTGCCCACATAACGTTAACGTATCTGTTTTTGGATGATTACGTTTTCCAATCAGAGTGAAATTAGATATAGATTGACGGTAAGAAATCATTGTGAGGGGAGTTTCTTTGGCTTCAATTCGTCCGTCAGGTTGCACGTGCGCTCGGCTCATTGTGTTGCATTTAGGCGGCAGGGAATTTGAGTCTGCCCCAAGGTGAACCAAGATGGCAGCTGGCGCGGTCGACACTCTGAACTGGAGTTTGTTACATGATGTGTAAGAGAATGAGATAACACAGACACATGAACGCTGGATAAATCGGAGCCAGAGGAAAAGTTGGGCAGCAGTGCGAGATCTATACAGACTGCAGAGCAAAAGTCGACCAGCCGCACTGCTTCACTCCGGGGACTGACAACATCTGGTAAACAAGTGGATGAGTTTTTTTGTTTTTACATATTGTTTACCTCAGACACTCGGATTCCCACAATTCTGTCTGGATAATCACATTCATGTAAACAGGATTATTTTGGGGACATGGTCAAATTATGGAATCATGTAAACAGCTGAACGGGACTCTTACCTTCCTCCCGGTGTTGGCAGCGTTCACGTTATTGTGCCACTGTGTTGTTTTGGGATTCCTCAGCTGCGCCGCCTGCACGGCGAGCGTCGGCGCCTCGAATGTGGAAAAGGAGACAAGGTCACCTCGCAGTTTGTGTTACGTCAGTCCGTTTTAATGGTTGACAACACGGCAATAAATCAGGCCGAATGGTTCGGTATGAATCAAGGTAACCACATGCCAGACAGCACAGGGTTCATCTGAATAGATTCAAGTTTGATCTTTCTTTTTGTACATTGCAAATAATAGAGCAGCTTTGTAACGTATGACAGAATGACATCTGCAGGGTTCCAGTTTTGCTTAAATTTGACTGTTTATTTTTGGATGTATTATTTAATGCCGCTGTGACTGACAGGGACAGGTTTTGTGTTCAGCTCCCTGGAAAGTCTTAGTCTGGCTCATCTTGGCCTTTTGCTCTGCAGTGTTGCTCCAGATGACCGTGAGTGAAGTTCAGCCAGAGAAGCAGCAGATTAACGTTGCATAAAAGGAACATCAAATAAAACTTCTTTGTGGAGAAAATGGAGAAACAAGCAAAGTGGGACCTACCTGGTGCTTGAGAGGGAAAACCCTGAAGAAAAGAAAAGTTTCTGTTAGTGGATCATCAGCTGTCGTCTGGAGACAGTTTCGTTTTATTTCGGATGACGACAAACAAGAACAGATTGAGGCTGTAAAAAAAAGAGCTGTTTATTAGGTTTATTTAGTGAAAGGGACACATTAAGAGTCGGGCAGGAGGAGTGAAAACAACATCTAGCTTCTGCTGCTCTGAGAAACACAAACACCGACAGTGTGTCTAAGGTGCAGAAATGCAGTTAAATTTCCTAAAAACCTGGAACAAATAATTTAAATGTTTGTAGATAATTAGCACATTTTTTTTTTTTGCCTGTATCATGCAGTTTTTTTGTCCCCATTTTCACTGGTAGTATTTGGAGGTGAAGCCCCTGTAGGAAGGGGATGTGTTGAAGCCGCGGGGCCTCTCAGCAGATATGTGTTTGGATAAATACATTAGGCTGTTTCCTGGCTTCCACAGAGCCTGCAGTGTTTTACTCTGTCATTCTTAAACTCAGACTGGGAACTCCGGGATCACACACACACACACACACACACACACACTCCTGTAAGCCCATCCCCCCACTATGTTTAAGTGCTTATAGAATACAAGCTCTGTTCTGGGAAAGTAAAGGCTTGTTTAGATTTGGGAGATAATGATCCGGCTTGCTCTAGGTTCCTCTCTCACTGCATCCACAGTATTTGGACATAAATAAAGTTGTTGCTTTTCTGGAAGCAAAGAGAGAAAAAAAAATCAAGTGAGGGGGTTGCCCGCCTTTTGAAATACAATCCTTGCTCTAATGGCCCCCCCCCAGCCCCCCACCCCCCCACTCTCAGACAGAATATTTAGATTTCTGTGATGGAGTACAGCAGCGCCTTTTGTGTTGCATCGAAGGTATCGCTCTCTGAACCACATATGAAAACATGCATGTAGCGCCAGACACATTCGGACCGACACACACACACACACACACACACACACACACACACACACGAACGTGACCCTGAAGTCAAAGTGGGCTTTCTTCAGAGCATGGGACGTCTCTCTGTGTCTGTAAGTGAGCGACAGACTCAATCCAGCCCTGTTTATGTCTGGTTTATTTTTCTGCGCCCGTCTGTGTTTTTTTTTTTTTTTTTTTTTTTTTCTTTTTTCTTTTTCTTTTTTCAGCCCCCTCGTCGTCGTCTCGTGAAATGAAATGCTCAGCAACTTGGAACATATGCTTCGAGTTGGGACACTAATGGCTTCGAATCCAATTTGAGCAGGATCTGGGCCAGACACGGGGAAGGCCCAACACACAGATGCAGACAGACAAACTGACACAGAGCTGAAACCGAAGGGACTCTAGATGTGGAGATCTGGGAGTGTTTTCGAGACTTCTGTAAGCCCTTAAATAGTTAGAAAATTTAAGCACAAAAGAAGTCTTAAAGTCTGTTATTGGACTCCAGAAAAAGGTTAGACTTAAATAATATTGCAATATTTTGATTTAATATTTAATTTCCTGGGGTCAAGTAAAAATCCCAGCACTGCAACTACTGATTATTTTCATTATCAGTTACTCTGCTGAGTGTTTTTCATGTTGAGCCTTTAAACATGTCAGAAAATTGTGCAAAGAAATTTCTCACAGCCCAAGGTGATGTCTGCTGTCTAAAGCTGAATGATGCTCAGTCTGCAATGACAGAAGACAGAGAAAAAGTGATGAAAACTGACGATTAATCAATCATCAAAATGGCCTGCAGTTTATTCTTAATTGACTAATTGTTTCAGGACAAATTTTTGTAAAAATAAAAGCAGTTATTTTAGCATTCTAGCCGCCGTAAAGACAGAAGAGACATCCGAAACCGCACCGCATTAGACTGCGCAGCGATGGTGATGTTTGCGGTTTATCTTGATCGCAGATGTGTTTGCATTTCTCACTCTGTGACTTAACTGCATTATGCCATTAACGCCTTTAGAGAGTTCATCTATTTAATTCCCACCGGATGTGCGCACCATGCGAGCCAACGAAAACCATGTTAGTGGAGCAAGTCGGATTTCCCGCTCCTGCCAGGGTCAGCGATG